GGGTCTCCACCGAAACACCCGGTGGGACCGTCCGCATCTGTCCCGGAAGCCCAATTTGGCATTTTCATGCACCCAGTACAACGTGTCGTGGCCCCATAGGGAGCTCCACCGAAGCCCCCAACATCAAATTTTGCATTTTCACCCACTAAATACAACGTTTCGTTGCCCCATAAGGAGCTCCACCGAAACCCACGCTGGGTCGGCCCATAGGGAGCTCCACCGAAGCCCCCAGTGGCACCGTCCCCATGCGTCCCGGAAACCCAATTTGGCATTTTCGCTCACCCAATACAACGTTTCGTGGCCCCATAAGGAGCTCCTCCACCGAAGCCCCAAGGGGGACCGCCCGCATGCGTCCCGGAAATCAGATTTGGCATTCTCACCCACCGAATACAATGTTTCGTGGCCTCATAGTGAGCTCCACCGAAGCCCCAAGTGGAACCATCCGCATGCGTCCCGGAAGCCCAATTCCTTCTCACCCACCCAGTATAGCGTTTCGCGGTCTCATAAGGAGCTCCACCAAAACCCCAAGTGGGATCGTCCGCTTGCGTCCGGGAAACCCAATTTGACATAGCATGCATCCCGTGAACCCAATTTGGCATTCTCACCTACCCAATACAACGTTTCGTGGCCGCATAGGGAGCTCCACCGAAGGCCCCAATGGGACCGTCCGCATGCGCCTCCGAAGCTCAATTTGGCATTTTCACCCACCCAATACAACGTTTCGTGGCCCCATAGGGAGCTCCACCGAAGTCCCCAATGGGACCGCCCGCATGCGTCCCACACACACACCCAATTTGGCATTTCCACCCGCCCAATACAGCGTTTCGTGGCCCCATAGGGAACTCCACCGAAGGCGCCAGTGGGACCGTCCGCATGCGTCTCGGAAACTTAATTTGGCATTTTCACCTATCCAATACAACGTTTCGTGGCCCCATAGGGAGCTCCACCGAAGTCCCCGATGGGACCGCCCGCATGCGTCCCACACACCCAATTTGGCATTTTCACCCACACAGTACAGCGTTTCGCGGCTCCATAGGGAGCTCCACCGACGGCCCCAGTGGTACCGCCCGCATGCGTTCCCCCCCCCCTGTGCAGCGCTTCGTGGCCCCATGGGAAGCTTCACCGAAGAAGATATTCACAACTGCGGTGCCCACAACTGCACATGGTTGGGTCCTTCGCCAGAATAATTCTGGTAGGGGGCTGACGTTCTTCGAAGAAGCCTTTGGCTCGCCCCCATCCGTCGGCTTTGTGCGACGGCCACATGCTGGACACCGCCAAATTAAACAGCATTCGGCGTAGCTCATGCTACGGGAGGCGTGGGCTAATCTAGTTTCTTCTTGAAGTGTATGACCCGCCTTGTCCCTTGCTTGGGGTCGGGGAAGGGTACAATGCTATAGCCATCGCTTGATGTCTCCAGACCCTGCTCGCTTCCTAACCTGCTCTTTACAAGTCGTACACTATGTACCACCTACTCTTGGAAGTGAGGATGCGATGAGGGGCGGATGTAAGGCAAGCCTCAACTCACACTCTGCACGTTACTTTTTCTCCTTCGCTGCCTGCCTCTTTGCCACAAGGGTGGTCGGGTCTCGGTCGCAGGCCTCCTGATGTGCGCGCGTGGGTCGCCTTCGCGCCACTTATGATGTGGCCCGCGCCCAATTGTGCATGTTCATCTGTGCTTCGGGGATATCGTGCGTCACTGAACCGACTGCGACCAGTGCGTCAGCGACGCCGTTGCCCAGGCAGGCCTCCTCGTCCAAGTGTAGCTTTCGCAAGCGTTCAAAATCTTCACTATTCGGTACGTGTTGTTATTCGATCCGCGAGGCAGGGTCAGGATGATCTGGCTCTCTCTATCGAGTGGCATGGTGTATGTTGTCCTAAGTGCCTGCCTTAGCCCTTCGTTGGCCGAGTCGGTGGTGGTGGTCGCGTCGCGTTGCCAGTCGCGAGCAGCAGAGCCAGAACCTGCCCATATTGCTACGGGGCCTCGGGTGGTTTGAAGAGCTCTGGGTGTTGACCGCAACGCTGCGCGATTGCTGTGGTCTGTCGTCGGCTCGATAGCGGCCCACACTGTCCAACCCTAAACTTCCAACCTTGGGGCCGGTCTCGGAGCTGGTGGTCCGTGTCGCCGCCGGTGCTGTCTTCGTGATTCGGACTGTTGTGGGCGTCGTCCTGATCGTGGCGGCTCTGGGCCTGCCGGGCCGAAGCCCCAGCAATACCTCGATCCTGACAGCTGTCTTTGCAGCAATCGTGGCGATCTGCGTGCCGACAGTGATCCTGCGCGCGGCGGCTAGGACTGCTCATCCCAATCCACACATGCCATGGTCATGATCTCCAGACTGGCTGACCCCGCTGCCGTCAGTACTGCAAGCAATCCTCTCGCCACTGTGCTCTAGCAGTCTGCTCGCGATCCTGCCGATGCTGGCGGAAGTGCCCTCTGCGCCGCAGTCGGATCTTTTCGTCCATGCTCTTGGAACGGGGCCCTGTTTCCCAAATCAAAGCGTGTCTTGGTGACCTGCTGTGGCTTGGCGCTTCAAGCTTTCTGCCTCGGTGTACTCTTTGTGTTCCTTGCGCGTGCTGCAATTTCCGCCTATTCAGTGGTTGTCGTCGTAAGTCTGACCGCGGGCGCATTCGGCGCACGAGTTTTTGCCCACGTTCGTGAAGGTCTAATGCTTGCGTTCGAGCGTCCTCATGGCGGCGCGTGGCGCCGCTTGGAGAGAGCCAACTTCCCTGTGTCGTCCGGTCTGGGCGTGTGCGTCGACTCCTCTCTCGATTCCTTGGCCCAGCCATTGTCCAGAAGTCTGATTCCAGAACTGCTACTGCTGCGACCCAAGAACGGCATGACTGACAACTGTGGGAGGTTCGGCAAGGTCGTCACCGCCCTCTCCCATGCGCCGTTCAGGCTCTCCGGGGTCCGCCCAGGTCGTCTACGAGATGGGGTTCCGCCCAATTGTCCACAAAGATAGGATAACGCTGCCGATGACTCCTCGTGGCTCCAATCTGTCCTGTTCTGGTACGTTGGCAAGCCAGCAGTGGGCGATGTGTCGACCCCCTGGTTAAGACCTGAACGGCGGTGCCAGACGTCGAACCAGGTATGAGATCTCGCCCACTGCCTCGGCAAGCCGACATCTAGGATCGCTGACAATCGATGGTGCTTCTGCGTAGATCCTGCAACCAGATAGTAGTGATGCCATGGGTCCATGTGTTGCCATCGTAATCCGTTGTTGTTTTGTCATGCGTCGAAGTTTTGTGGCAAGCCAATCTTTTGTGAGCTGCCTTCTTTCGCTATGTGTGAGCTAGTCTTCTCGATGGGCTCCTTCCTGCTCGGTCCTGGCCGAAAAGGTCACGCCCGATTGCGGCTGCTTATGCGTGCCGAGCTCTTTTGCATGCCTCGTGATTGACGTTGGGGTGATATGCAATTGCGGCCCATTTGTCGCCCAACTCTTGACCCGTGTCGGCAAGGCATTTGGCGTGGGTGACCGTGGCGGGGATGGCGGTCTGTTGTGCTGTCTGCTTGCTGCCCGTCGCGCGGGGCTCCACGTCGCCAGGCCAGGGGCTCGTGACGGAAACTGCAACTGGGAAGTCCAGTCGGTGGGTCGCCTGGTGCATGGCGGCCCACGCCAAATCTTCGGCGTGGCGTGATCCGGCTACTACTGCAAGACTTGCCCAAGTCGGTATGCCATGAGTCGCATTCTGTCTAGGCAAGAAGTGTGCGGGGAAACGACTCCAAAGCCAAAACTCACGGTGGACGATGCGGGCGTCGTGTGCCATGTTACAATGGATCCAGCACGTCGTAGAAGCGGCGGATGTCTGCTGACGAAGCGGCGTTGGCCAGCTGGAGCGGGTCGCTGATCTCGCCGCCCAGGGTGCGCGCATCCACGCCGCGTGAGGCGCTGTTGCCAGCAAGAACCGCATCCCAGTGACTGCCAACGATGCGCACCCATTCAGCGACCATCGGTGGTGTGACTTTCTCCTCACTGCGCCATGCTTGTCGAAGAGGACCCGGGGCTTTGTCGCGTTCTGTCTTTGGCTGTAGCATGATGGCGGCACTGTGTAGTTGCAGTGGCCACGTTCGTTTTCGCTCGATCGTGCAGTCTGCTAATGCCTGCCCCCAAGTTGAAATAGTCTGCGAGACGCCTGCCGTGGTAAATCTGTCGGTTCCTCTTCATCGGGCGTGGGCTGAAACGAGTAGCCGAGATCCTCCATAGTCGACCTTTGTCAACTCCCCCACCCCCCTGCATTCCCCTCCCTCCCGTTCCATTCTACACTTGCAATATGGAATATTACTATCCTCTCGTGTCTGATTACGTTCTGGAAATATCCCGCTCTCTCTGTGTATGTTCGCACACAAGATTTCAAGCTTTGGTCTTCATATGGTGCTTCCAGTCGGGATGTGCCCGTGTTTCAAAACGGTGTTTCTGCTGCAGCGTTGGCCTCATTTCAGGATCAGCGCTTTGTTCCCGTCGTTTAGAAACGGCGCTCTCGCCCCAGCTCGGGCCACCATTCTGGATCAAAGTGTTTTCTGACCGTTGTCGCTATCTCCCTTTCTCCTCCCCCGCCTTCCCCTGGTCTTCCTGCTCCTCCTGCTGCTACTGCCGCTGGTCCCCTCCTCGTCCTCCTGCTCTTTCGTTCCCCTCTTTCCTCCTGCGTATCCGCCATCTTCTTCTCTAATGTACACGTCTCACCTTTCAGGATGCGCGTAGCACGATAGGGCTCTTTTGGGGGCTCCAGGTCCGCTATGATATCCGCCGGCGGATAAAAAGAACATTCATGCAATGGGAAGGGATTGGCGGGAGGGGCAGGATGTCAACTACGGCGCGAACGCGCCAAGCTTGGCTCACCTCCCCCCTTTCCCGCCCCCCGCCCCCTCTGCCTTCGCCACTCCCGCCCCAGCGTGCCCCCCCCTCGCCGCCGTGCCTCCCTGACCTCCGCCCCCCTGTCCCTGGCTGCGGGTGGGCGCGCGGCCTGGTGCAGCCCGTAACCCCGCATCATCACCAGCCTGTACCTCAACCCCAGCGCGAAGCTGTTGTGGGCGGAAGCCGCGACCCCCCCCCGCCGCTGGGGGCTGCAAGCGAGGCTCGGCCGCCGCCAGGGGCAGCTCCGCGAATTTTGTTGACCGCGCCCTGCGCGGCAAGGGAAGGAGCAAGGGCGAGAGCACGAGCAGATCTCAGGCCAAGGAGGATAGGACCAGTCGGCGGCGATCAGCAAAGGCCCAGGTTCAGACACATGCGTGTATGTGTATATTCAGGAGGGGAAAAAACACACAGACACAATTAATCGTCGACTCCCAGGAAAATATGGGAAACTATGAGGAGTGGGGGGGAAGACAAAAACCCAGAAACTACAGGGAAATATGGGGAATATTTCTATTTGCGTGTCTTTATTTGTGTGTCCTGGGGCCCCTTCGTATATGTACATGCACGTGGCCGTCAAGGCCAGCACTGCTCTGGGACGCGAGCGGGCCAGACGAGAGCACTGGCAGATATGGGGGGGCGGACGCTGGCATCGCCAGCAGCAAAGAAAGCCTTTCGTGGCCCCATACCCTCGGCAACCAGTTCTGAAGGGGCCCCAGGACACACAACTAAATACACACAAATAAAAAAAATCAGATATTTTCCTATATCTTCTGGGCTTTTTTGTCTTCCCCCCACTGCCCATATTTTCCCATATTTTCTGGGGGATCGACGCTTGATTGTGTCTGTGTTTTTTTGTCTCTCCTGACATACCCTCGGCAAACAATTCAAAGTGGGCGTGACGGGATGGATGCGACAACTTTCAGCAACAACACCAGCACGTTCGATTCCTGGGCTCTGCTCAGTGAACAGCTGTGAAAACTGCCAGCTCGCACTGCCGTCGAACCCATTACTATTTTGGGGGATTTGGAAGGGCCAGGCGACGCAATGAAAACGAACATCGGTACATGAGACGGCGGACGCTGGCACCACCAGCAGCAAAGACCTCCCGATCGAATGGGCTCAACAGGCCGAAGGCCGTATTCAATGACAAACCAACCGACGATGACGACCGATCGACCCACGACGACGGCGAGGACGGCCGACCGACCGACACACCAGCCGGCCGACCGACCGACCAACCGACCGTCGACGAAAACGACCGACAAGCTGATTGACATAGACCTCACACGTATTATTATAGGATTCGCTTGCAGATCCACGACCCCGTTGGTCCCATGTCCTGCCGGACCACGATACTGGTTCTTATCTCCACTCCCAAGAATCGAAACCCCAAAACACACAGGGGATCCACGAGAATATTGCACGCGCCCGATGAAATCCAATGGGGTCCAGGGTTATCCATGCAAGAGAAACAGCAAACTGCTGGCCTACGGATGAAGGAGGTTGCGCCCTTTCCGCCCTTCAGCGAAAAAACTGCACGGGCGAGAAGACCCAGGGCTAGTGCCTTAATTGTCTCCCTTGTGTGGTGGTGCACGAAGCCATAGAGACAACCAGGTTACCCGTTCGATCCAGCCGCCTTTGCCTGTGCGCCACGCGCGAGTCGATGGGGTCGAAGTGGGGAACGGGCGAAAACGCCGCGTTGCTCGACGGGTAGGGCGCATGCTAATACACCAGAGAAATTGCGCCCCTTCTGCCCTTCATCGAGAAAACTGCGCGGACGAGGAACTCCACGGGCCAGTGCTTTAGTTGCCTCCTTCGTGTGGGTGTGCACGACACCATATGAGTTACAAGGTGGTCCTTTCAATCCAACCGTTCGTGTTGGCGCGGGGGCGGGCGCAGGTCAACACCCAATTTGCGCACATCGAAACGTCGTGGTTCTCCGACTCAGATGACGACGAAAGCGGACCGACCACCGACGACGACGACGACCAACCGACCGAAAATGACGACGACCGATCGACCGACCAGCTGGCTGGCCAGCCGACTGACGAACAACGACGACGATCGGCCGACAAAGACCGCCCCAAAATCATAGCAGTGGTCGGCAAATCCACAGTTCCGTGGATCGCATTTCTTGCGGCCCACGATCTTCATCCTTAGAGTGCACTTGTTCCGGGGAAAAAATCTGATCCACGAGGTCCACGCCCAAATATGGGATCCGCAAAAACAAAGGATCCAATGGGGCCCTGCATTTTTCATGCGAGAGGGAGAGAATTCGGCGTGGGGATGTATCCAAACCGCTCTAGGCACTGACTTGCGTAACTAGCAGATGGAGGGCCTACTCGGGCGGAGTGGCAAGGTCTTGACGATGCAGCTGGCATCGGCGGCGGCAAGTTGAAACGGGTATTCTGCAACAAGAGCGGTGAGCTTCCGGCCCCGCTCGTACTTCCCTTAAAGAGCGAGGTGTCGGTTGCCAGTCCGCGGCGGCCTGAACAAGTCTTCTCGAACTGCAATTAGGAAACGGCGTTCCAAGAGCAGATGGTGGTGGCTGTTCTGCAGAGGGCGCTGTGCTGGCACTGATGCAACGCTGACTTGCGACAAGAGGTCGACTTACACAACCGAGCCAGCCCTGGGCTGGACCAAATGAACGAAGCTTGCGGGTTCTTGAGATACTCTAGCACTCCAGCGGCACAGCAGGCGCGAATAATCCTGAGCGTGTGACGATCGGTTGCGTTGCTTACAACGACCCCAGCACGATCCAAGCTATCCAGGTCGGGAAGTCCGACCGGATTGGGTGCAGACTGCAAGGGTCGTCGGAGCGCTCTAGTCCAGCTTGTGCACGGCGTGCCCAGCCAGACCGCGCCAAGGTCGTTGCCGCGTGGACCTCGAGGGCCTGCGGCTCCAGTCGAGCCCGAAGACGGTGTATCCCCACGCCATCAGCGCCCTTGCGATCGCCGGCGCTGCAGAACAACTGCGCGACTGGGCTCCAGCGCAGCAGTTAGCCAAGGGTCGCCGCCCGCTGGTACTGGCGCAGCAGATGCCGCCTGATGGCGTCTGCGCTGGGCGATGGCGGCTTGTCCGCGCCCGTGGTGCTGGCGAGGGACTCGCTTCGTCCGCCGCCGCGGCAACGCCGGCGGCGCCTCCGCCGGCTCGCTGAACGCTCGCAGCCGCGCGCGTCGCTGCGCCGCCGCCGCAGGCCAGTTCCTGACCGCGCGCTACGCGCGGCGCATGCGCAGGCGGCCGTTCGCCGGCGCCGCGGGCGTGGCGGCGGCGTCGGCCAGCGCGCGGCCAATCGCAAGCAGCGCGGGCAAGGGGCTTCCGACCAGCGCCCCCAGGTCGTCCTCGACGAAGGTCCCAAGCTCCAGGGCTGGCGCTGGGATCCGCGCTAGCTCGTCCAGCAACTCCGTCTCTTCGGTGTCGCTGTTGAAGCTCCTCGCTGTCCGCCGACGACCGCGCCGCCGCATTATTCCAAGGTTCCTCCTCAGCGAGAGCATGTCGTCCGAGGCCCCCCGTGTCGCAGACTACAGAGATGGGGTCGGGGGCGCAGGGGCAGCTGCCTGCGCGCGCTGTCACTGAGCTGCGGCAACTGCTCGATCGCCTTCCCCCTCGCAGCGCCCGGTCCGCTGCGGTGCTGAGCTTCGGGGGCCTCGCGATCGAAGAAGATGCCCTCGTCCTTTCGCCTGTCTTGCCGGGGCCCTGGCCGCTCGTGCAGAAGCAGCCCGGCGTGTTACTGCGGCGCCCCCGCGGCGGCAGCGGGCGCTGCGAGGCGGCGCCCGCGCAGCCTCGCTCCCCCCCCCCCCCGCCCGGCCCCAAGACGGCCCAACTGAGCTCCGGGATGCATCCCGTTCCGAAAATTCATTCATCTGCGCCGCGCCAAACATGTCCAGCCAAAGTGGGTAGACCTCTCTCGTGGGCGATTTTGTCTGTGTGATTTCATGCGGGGAGACATTCTGAATGGCTTGAAAGCGGCGAATGTGGCCGAGGGTGAGTTCTTCCTCGAACAATGACAGGGGCGCGACAATGTATCTTGAAGTGACTTGTAGCAAGAAAATGCGCCAAACAAGAACTCAGGAAAGCTCTCCCGTCCGTCCAGGCCGACAGGAATCGTGCTAGGAGTCAAGGGGGGGATGGGGCCCGCTTGGCGTCGCTGTAGTAGTCGCAATCCAAGATGAATTAGCGGGCACGCGGGGATCTGATTACATGTTTCGACGGTGAGACCAGCGTTCCCCCTTGACGGCGGCGCCGCTGGCCGTCGCCGGGCGCGTGCGCTTGCCCCGCAGACCCTTGGCACACATGCCCCCAATTCGACGTGGCAAACGATCGGCCCTCCCAGGGAGGAGTTCGGGCGCGGGGCCGCTCCTCTGCGCAGCCAGCCATCGCAACTAAACAGCGATGGCAGTGGCGCAGCGATGCTGGCGTTGGCGGCCGCGGGTTGGGACATCAGCGCGCCGTTCGGCCTCTGGGCCCAGGGTCCTGGCGTGGAGATGACTGCACTTCCTTGTCCGTGGGAAGAACTGTCGCCCTTGGCGGCGGCGCCTCTGACCGCCGCCGCGCGCTTGCGCGTGCCCCCCAGGCCCGCGGCAAATTCGCCCCCGGATCGAAGCGGCAAACGATCGGCCCGCCCCTGGTGAGATCCGAGCGTTGGGCAGCTCCTTTGCGCGGGCAGTCATCGAAACGAAGCAGCGGTGGCGCTGGCGCATTTGTGCTGGCGATGAGGCCGTTAAACGGGAATGCCAGCGCGCCGTTCGAGCCCTGGGCCCGGGGTCCTCGGCGGGAAGCCGACTGCACTTCCTCGGCGGTGGGGCAGCTCCCCCGCTTGACGGCGGCGCCTCTGGCCGCCGCCAGGCGCTTGCACGTGGCCCCCAGACCCTCGGCAGCGTCGCCCCAAATCCGAAAACGCAAACGATCGGCTCGTCGCGGGGCAGCTCCTCTTCGCAGTCAATCATCGGAACGAAATATCGATGACAATTGCGCGATGATGCTAGCGAAGCGGCCGTGAACTGACATGCCGGCGCGCCGTTCGAGCGTTGGGCCCAAGGTCCTCGGCGGGAAGCCGACTGCACTTTTCGACGGTAAGATCGGCTACCCCCCTTGACGGCAGCGCCTCTGGCCGCGGCCGCGCTCATGCGCGTGCCCCCGAGACCCATGTCCGATAACTCAAACAATCGACCCGTCCCTGGTGAGGTCCAAGCGCTCAGCCGT